CACACACACACACACACACACACACACACACACACACTGATATTCGTGGTGTTCGTCGAAACACACCTTGAATCCGACGAGACACGTTTCCTTGGCGTGCTGTAAGTAGTATCCATGACTCTTTGCCAAGCGCCGGTTGACGGTTTGCTTGACCCAGTCGACGTTGTCCACAAATCTAAAATAGGGATTGACAATTGATATCCGACATCAATAGGTGCCGAAAAAATAGAAGAAAGTCGTGTGCTGTAGATGAGCATAAAATTACAAAAACCAAAAATCCCACACGCACAATTGTGCGGCTTATACGCAGTTGAATCCAGCTATGTTGTCTCACTAGACTGAGTCTCATATGCAACCTAAAGCACTGTAAATACATCACAGCCGATGCGACATCGAGGACTGAAAAATGCAGCATACTTACATCCCTATATAAATACATACACAAATACACACACACACATACACACCTATATATATATATATATATATGTAGTTTATGTATATATGTACATATAAATATTCTTATACACACAAACGTATACATACGCACACACACACACACACACACACACACACATATATATATATATATATATATGTATGTATAATTACATATATATACATACATACATACATAAACACATGTATATACGCACCCCCCCCCCCACACCCACATATACACACACACAACCACACACACACACACACACTAACACATACACACACACACATATATATATATATAGATTTAGATATAGATATAGATATAGATATAGATATAGATAGATATATATATGTATATACATATATATATATATATATATATACAAACATACATACATACATACATACAGACATACATACATACATACATACACACATGCATACATACATATATATATATATAGTAAATATATATATATATATATATATATATATACGGCGTCATATTGCATTTGTGTATTTCACAGGCAAAACCTCGCGCACACTTTCACATACGCTTTCAGAGACACACTGGTTTAGCTGAGCACACACGCGTACATACACACCACACACACGTACTTGTAGCCCCACTTCGTCATCAGCTCCAAGCCCACCTCGAACCGATTGTTGATAACCCAGATGAAGATGAAGCCGCTATCAGACAAGCACTCTACGGGCATGTCAGCTATATCATTATCACACAGCTGTGAATATCCCAGCGCAACACCACGTGTTGGCTTGGCATTGGCGAGCCGCCAAGGGGGGTCCATGTGGATGACATCGAATTTCGTCAGTTGGGCTAATGATTTGAAGTCGTATGCTGCGGGATTGGGGGGTTTATAGTTGTGATCGTATGTGTTTGTGAGTGAGTGAGTGAGAGTGTGAACCAGCGAATGTGCGAGTTGTTGTCATGAATGCAAAACAGCTTATTGTACGTACAGTATTTTGGTCTGTTTAGCATTCATGTGTTCATTGTATATACAGTATATCGCAAACAAAAACTGAAGTAGTTGCTAGGACAATCAGTCAGAGCCAATATAATCGGCAGCAGAACGTATGGAGATGGTATATATATATATATATATATATATATAAATAAATATATATATATATATGTATAACTTGGTATGCTCCAAACGAATATGCACACGTATGGAGAACTGAGACATTTATATACTATGACAGACTCCAGCTGAATACAGTCGAGCGCATCAAGGCCTCGGCATACTAGTTTATTGCCAAATATACCGTGTTTGGCTCACCGCTTAAGAAAGTGGACAGCATTCACGCTGTGATGTCTGATAAAGATGTAGTAAACTACTTGCGTATATTCATAATAAACTACTTGCGTATATTCATATATATATTCATATATATATATATATATATATATATAATTATATATGGTCACTTGAATGCCAGCGCTTGTGAAAACGGATGAATAGTGCGGATTGTAGCTAGAGGCAGCTCACAAATGCAGGGAGAACGATCGTGTACGGCTCTCTTCATACTCTAGGTACAGACACGCGCATGCACAAGGACGATGGCACATAACATCCCTCACTACAGTAGAACACAGGTTTATGTGGACTACTCATCAAACAACTGGTCCCCTATGTATCGCACAAAAAACACATATGCATCAATTGGTGAATGCTTACATGTGACATCGGCTGATATTGGGACCGAAAATGGGGGCGGAGTAAAATTTTGGGTAGAAGATTTGGAGTCTGATGTTTTTTTGGATTCACTGCAAGATCCGGCCACATCGGCATTCTCAGCTGTAGCCACAGCGCCATTATTCGTCGCATGTGGCTCGTTACTATTGTGCAAGTTCGTTTCATCTTCAGCTGTTTGATCCCGTTTGGCCTCATGATTGCGCCTGTTGCGATGCCGAGATGGGTGCGTTAGCAAGCTACGTCGATTTCCGAACAAATAAAAAAATACTGTCAAGTGGAACGAAGTATGGAAAGTACATCGATTCTCGAGGCTATGATACATAGGATTATATTACAATGATCAAATATAATTTTAACCATGCTATTTGTGGATCGAGGAGTACTCAAAGAAAATGTGATTCGTGGATATATGCACACCTCTACAGACATTGGAATTATATTTGTATAAAGAACATACAAACTCTCGTACATCTACAAATACTGTACCTTAGCACGCGTCGAGCCGACCTGCTGGCAAGCAATTCTTCTTTACTGAGGCCGGAATTTAGTTCGCACAGTGTCGTTGATTCTTCTGTAACTACTTCATCCTCTGTGAGGACTCGCCTGGCTTTTTTAAGTGCCTTTATCTTCCTTTTCGACTGTTTTTGGGATGTATGTATAGTGCCATTGATAGTGTGAATTATGCCATAGTCCACGGTAACATAAACAGTAAGGTGTAGTCGGCATTGGTGATGATATTGTCATTTAGTTCGAATAAGCACTTACACGCGGGTAGGTACTAGATGTAAAAAAACGCTTTTAGTCGTGCACATTCTTACCAGAACCATTTCCTGCACTGTTCGTATCTCTTCATCTATCAGCTCGTCCACTGTGTGTGTAAATCCAAATAAGACAATAAGCGACTCGAATCTGAAGATGACTTTTGCGATTATAATATATTACACCACAATATTGAAGTTGGCAATTTGCCCTCAGATGCTTTGTTGCTGTAAAATAGAGAGGTACACAAGATTGAGCGAATGCTAATAGATTCGTGCCATGTCCTGCTTTCTACGGCCAATGTATATCTGGAAACCATTGGGCATCTGAGTGATCACACTCGGGCGTCTCTTGCCAATGTGTAGAGATGGCGATGTTGTAGTATGCAATTGATGCTCTTTTGAATGCATTGTTGTATAGAACTATGCAAGCCTTTATATATATATATATATATATATACATGCATACATATACATATATATATATATATATATATATATATATATATAGTAGTCGTACGTCTTATTATATATATTAGTAGTGTAGTACGTAGTAAGTAGTAGTACTA